ATATAGAGAACACAGCAGATACAGGAGCACTGTGGGTATCAAGTCCTCTGGGAATTGTTTATCTTCTCTGGCGATGCACTCAGGGTGTCATCCTGATGATGGCTCAAAGGCTACCTTGGGATTTCATGTCAGTGTTAGGATTTGTTTTTGTGATGGAAAAATGCACGTTATTGACTTGCCTTCATTCCTCACCCATTTTGCCTCCGAACAATGACTCAGTGTCAGCAAGTAGGGACAGCGAGGTTATTATCCATAAAGCACAAATTTTATGGACAACTGGGGTCAAGGTTTTAGGTCCAAAGTCAGTATTATGGCTAAGGTTCGATCTATTGCAGTTCTAAACTAGATATGAGTTAGTACGTACTAGCTAGTCTGATTCTATTGGAAAATGCAGCAGTGGTAATAGCTGTGATTCTGTCATTCACGCAGGGGTCAAAACAATTGGCTTCAAACCTGTCTCTGCTACCATAAGATAATGATCTCTGGTAACTCACATCTCTATGTATCTTTGAGGGTTTCGTTTTATGGCAATTCCATAAGGACTAATTTTTTTATAGTATGAACATTTGAAGAGTAAATTTAGCTGATTTCTTAATAAATAAAATTATTTACTTTCTAAAATGTAAACGTCCAAAATAAACTGTCCATGCTGTTTTGATATAGAGATGCCCATGCTTACTTAGCAGAAGAGCATCCTGGTATATTTAGAGATAAGGTTTTCATTTGTCCAAAGCACTCCAGCAAAAGAGCCAGGCCATTATTCTTTTAAAAGTTCACCTCTTCACTCAGTTTCTACACTTGAATAGAAAATCACTAGTTTTTTTTTTTTTTTTTAAATGTTGTGTATTGGACAAGGCCACAGAAAAGTTCTGAAATATCTAAAAACATTTGGCTCGGGAAAAGAGTTTTCTTGAGCTTTGGAACAGTCATTCACCACTTTGTGTTTGAAGACACGCCACAACAAACTTCTCTAGAAGTTAGAGGAAAGCGCAGGACCTGGGCTCCTGGAAGGGACTGCTTCTGGAGGCACACCAGACAGTAGGGGGCCCTTGCTGCCATTCTGCCTACAGCATCTTTGAAGCTCTGCAGTTATCTGAGACTAAATAATAGCTTCAAAGTCCCTGTTCTCATCTCATGGCTTTGATGTCCCTGAGAAGTTGGCAGTCCTTTCTTCAGCTTACTCCAGTAATGCGCTGCAGAAAACTCCATGCCTCTTCCTCCCCTATGTGTGTGTTGCTAGGGATTCAAACCCAAGTCTTCCAGAGCTTTTGTACAAATTAACGGTAGTGCAAGTCCTGTACTTTTGAGTCCTCATCTGTAAAGTTAGGATAATAACTGTTCCATAGAGCTGAGAGGATGCTTGAGTGTATGGCTGACATTCCATGTGTGTGGACCAGAGAGCACATGCTAGCTGTCGCCTATCAGGAATCTTTAACTATGTGTCTCTGTGGGAGTATGTGCACATGAGTATGGGTGTTCACCGATGCCAGAAATGCCAGATTGCCCCAGAGCTAGAGTTAGAGGCAGCTGGGAGCCATCAGCCATGGGTACTGGTAACCGAATTTGGGCCTTCTGCAAGAGCACTGTTTGCTCTTAACTTCTGAGCCATCTTCCCAGCCTAGTAGCTGGGCTGTTTTCCCACTGACAGTGATAGCTATACTGCTGATGTCTCCTGAATGCCGGTAGTTTTCAGTGTGCTGGAACATCTTCCTTTCTTTTTTTTTTTTTCCAAAACACAAAAACAAAAACAAAAACGATCCCTTGATTTTCCTTATTAGAGCACATGAGCTGAATGATTGGAATTGAAGTGTTGGGATTTTTGTTTTCTTGCTTTGTTTCAAAGTCCTCTTGAGTCATTTTCTTAATTAATTACATCATTTCTCCTTTCCTTTCTTCTCTCCAAATCCTCTTACCTATTTCTCTTTGCTTTCTTTCAAATTCATAGCCCGTTTTTTATTGTTATATACATACATACATACATACATACATACATACATACATACATACGTATGTATTGAGATATTTACTAGAGAGACAAAACCTCAGCAGTTCAAACTACCCTCAGGATGACACTGTAAATGTCAAAATACACTGAACACAAATTCACCCTCAGAATATCAATCCTTATATCTAGAGACTTGGAGGATATCTAAATACTACGTTAAGTACCTGGGCATGAGAATGTCCAAAATCAAAAACATTGATGACAACTTATGGGTAGAGAGGATGTGGGGTAAGGGAACATGCCTCCATTGTTGGTGAGAGTGCAAACTTGTACAGCTGCTTTGGAAATCACTATGGTGATTTCTCAGAAAATTAAAAAACAACCTACCTCAAGACCCAGCAGTACCACTTTTGGGCAGATAACCAAAGGATGCTCAACCATGCCAAAAGGACATGTGCTCAACTATGTTCATAGCAGCATTATTTGTAATAGCCAGAACCTGAAAACAACCTAGAAGCATTTCAGCCAAAGAATGGATAAGGAAAATGTGGTACATTTACACAATGGAGTACTATTCAGCAGTAAAAAAAAATGACATCTTGAAATTTGTAGGTAAATGGATGGATCTAGGAAAAAATATGAGTGAGGTAGCTCAGAACCAGAAAAATATATAATAAAAAACATGTATTCACTCATAAGTGGCTTTTAGACACAAAGCAAAGAAAAACCAGCCTATAGTCCACAACTCCAAAGAACCACGACAAGAAATAGGACCCTAAGAGGGACATACATGGATCTATATAGGCAAGAGAAAAAGACAAGATCTCCTGAGTAAATCGGGAACATGGAGGTCATGGGAGAGGTTAGAAGGGAAGAGGGGAGAAAGGGAGAGGAGAAAAATGTATAGCACAATAAAAGCAATAAAAAAATAAAAGGAGCTGGGGATGGTGGGACTTGCCCACAGTCCCAGTACTTGGGAGGCAGAGGCAGGTGGACCTCTGTGAGTCTGAGGCCAGCCTGGTTTCCACATCGATTTTCAGGCCAGCTCAAAACAAAACAAGGCAAAACAAAACAAAACAAAATCTTATACTAATATAATTTTTTCCATGCTGAGTTGATTAGCACAGAAGACTTAAATATGTCTAGCAGATTATGGAGATCTATAATATTTAAAGTAGAAACCTATAAGATGTGATGAGCTAACTAAGATCTATGAAGAGATGTAGGTGTAGGCAAAGGAACTCCTTTATCAGTAGCGACTTAGAAGAGAGATGGAAATTGAATCAGCTGGGTTGCCGGTCACAAGGGAAAATGTGTTTCATTTCCAGTACATTTTGATGAGGTTTGGCAGTGTTTCGAGCTCCATAATTACTCTCTTTAAAATTCAGCTAAAGATGCTCAAGATAACATTTAGACTTTATTGAAAGGTTAATTTTGCCCCTTCAGAAGAATACACTTCCCATTGTACTTAACCGGGTGTTAAACGTGGAAACGATCCTATCATTTTCCACGTCTGCATGCCAGAGATCAGTTTCATTGGTTCTCTCTTCTCCATGGCCATGTGTCCATTGCAGTACCCCTTTCTTAATAGGGATGCTCTGGCTCCAACAATAGATGTTTTCCCTTCTGCAACTGCCAAAATAAGAAGCCTTCTCATCCATGAATGCGCTTCTTCTGTTGTTGATATCATAAACTGTGTTTGTGGCCTACTTAATAATTCATCACAAGAGATGAATCCTGATTAAAGGAGGATGCTGGAAAAGGAAATATCCTTTACGTTTGAAAGTGTTGGGGATGGCACACGAAATGCTTTCTTCTTCATCATGGCCCAGGGGAAGCACCCATGCACCTGTTGGTGAGCTGGATAATCATGTAACAGAGATCATAATTCAAGTATAAAATGATTGAAGAGAGGCCTATCCTTGCTGTAATCTCTTGCCAAAAGAATACTGTGTAATGGCTGTTTGCTGATGATATGATAGTTTACATAAGCAATCTCAAATATTCTACCAAGGAACTTCTACAATTTATAAACACTTTCAGTAATGTAGCATGATACAAGATTAACTCAAAAAAATCATTAGCCCTCCTTTATACAGATGATAAAAGGGCTGGGAAAGAAATCAAAGTAACAACACCCTTCACAATAGCCACAAATAGCATAAAATATCTTGAAGTAATTCTAACCAAACAAGTGGAAGACTTGTACAAGAACTTTAAATCTTTAAAGAAAGAAAGACACCAGAAAGTGGAAAGAAGTCCCATGCTCTTGGGTAGACAGAATTAACATAGTAAAAATGGCAATCTTACCAAAAGCAATCTACAGATTCAATACAATGACCATCAAAATCCCAGAAAAATTCTTCACAGACCTCAAAAGAATGGTACTCAACTTATAGGGAAAAGCAAAAAACCCAGGATAGTCAAAACAATCCTGTACAATAAAAGAACTTCTGGAGGCATCACAGTCCCTGACTTCAAACTCTACTACAGATCTATAGTACTGAAAACAGTCTGGTATTGGCATAAGAACAGACAGGAGGACCAAGGGAACCAAATCAAAGACCCAGATGTTTGTTTGTTTGTTTATTTATTTATTTATTTATTTATTTATATTTATTAAAGATTTCTGTCTCTTCCCCCCAGCCGCCTCCCCTTTCCCTCCCCCTCCCCAATCAAGTCCCCCTCCCTTGTCAGCCCAAAGAGCAATCAGGGTTCCCTGCCCTGTGGGAAGTCCAAGGACCACCCACCTCCATCCAGGTCTAGTAAGGTGAGCATCCAAACTGCCTAGGCTCCCACAAAACCAATAGGTGCAGTAGGATCAAAAACCCATTGCCACTGTTCTTGAGGTCTCAGTAGTCCTCATTGTCTGCTATGTTCAGCAAGACCGGTTTTAACCCAGGCTTTTTCAGACCCAGGCCAGCTGGCCTTGGTGAGTTCCCGATAGAACATCCCCATTGTCTCAGTGTGTGGGTGCACCCCTCTCGGTCCTGAGTTCCTTGCTCGTGCTCTCTCTCCTTCTGCTCCTGATTTGGACCTTGAGATTTCAGTCCGGTGCTCCAATGTGAAAGACCCAGATGTTAATCGACACACATACGGACACCTGATTTTTGACAAAGAAGCAAAACATATCAAATAAAAAAAAGAAAGTATATTTAACAAATGGTGCTGGCATAACTGGATATCAACATGTAGAAGAATGAAAATAGACCCATATCTATCACCATGCACAAAACTCAAGTCCAAATAGGTCAAAGGCCTCAACATAAAGCCAGCTACACTGAACCTTATAAAAGAAAAAAGTGGAAAATACACTTGAACACATTGGCACAGGAGACCACTTCTTAAATATAACCTCAGCAGCACAGACACGGAGACAATTAATAAATGGGACCTCCTGAAAGTGAAAAGCTTCTGTAAAGCAAAGGACATGGTCAACAAGACAAAATGACAGCCTACAGAATGGGAAAAGATCTTCACTAACCCCACATCAGAGGTCTGATCTCCAAAATATACAAAGAACTCAAGAAATTGTTCACCAAAAGAACACATAATCCAATAAAAAATGGAGTACAGACCTAAACAGAGAACTTTCAATAGAGGAGTCTAAAATGGCTGAAAGACATTTAAGGAAATCTTCAGCATCCTTAGCCATAAGAGAAATGCAAATCAAAACAACTCTGAGATTCCATCTTACACTGGTAAGAATGACCAAGATCAAAAACACTGATGACAACTTATGCTGAAAAGATTATGGTGAAAAGGGAACACTCCTGCATTGCTGGTGGGAATACAAGCTGGTTAAACCCTGTTGGATATCAGTGTGGCAATTTCTCAGAAAATTAAGAAATAACATTCCTCAAGACCCAGTAATACCACTTTTGGGTATATATCCAAAGGATGCTCAATCATGCCACAACAACATGTGCTCAACTATGTTTATAGCAACATTGTTTGTCATAGCTAGAACCTGGAAACAACCTAAATGTCCCTTGACCAAAGAATGGATAAGGAAAATGTGGTACATTTACACAATGGAGTACTACACAGCAGAAAAAAATGACAGCTTGAATATTGCAGGAAAATGGATGGAGCTAGAAAACATTATTTTGAGTGAGGTAACCCAGACCCAGAAAGACAGTTATTACATGCACTCACTCATAGGTGGTTTTTAAACATAAAACAAAGAAAACCATCCTACAAACCCAATCCCAGAGAACTTAGACAACAATGAGGACACTAAGAGAGACTTACATAGATCTAATCTACATGGGAAGTAGAAAAAGACAAGATATCCTGAGTAAATTAGGAGCATAAGGACCTTGGGGGAGGGCTGGAAAGGGGAGGGGAGAGTCAGGGAGGAAAGCAGAGAAAAATGTAGAGCTCAATAAAAATCAATTAAAAAAAAGAAAAAAGAGAATACTGTATAATGAACCCCACAAAAGGTAGAGTAACTTAGCTGTCCCACCATAGGAAATGGTCTGCAAAAAGCCAGTTTATGCTCCTGGGACAGGTCCTGGTCCTACTGCCGGTCCCCCCCAACATATCAAACCACATAACTGTCACCCACATTCAGAGGGTCTAATTTGGTTACATGCAGGTACCCCACCTGTCAGTCCATGGTCCATGACCTCCCCTGGCTTTGGTCAGCTGTCTCTGTGATTTTTCCCATCATGCTCTTGAGGGCTCAGTCATTAAAGCCTAGGCTCACAACCAAAATAGAACCAGTCACTTTCACAGAGCATTTTAACAGTAGGCAGAAAGTGTGTGTAAGCAGGGGACGGGGTATTCAGCAAGAGAAAGGCAATGTAATTTCTCAAAATCTTCTCATACTCTTGCCTGCACCAGGTTCACTAACACTATCTCATGGATCAAAGCAAGTCACAAGCCAGAGTGCTAGGGTTGCCTGAGTGGCTAATAACGTGAACGCAGAAAGGGCAAAGGATTTTGGCATCTGAGTTTAACCAATGTACTGTAATTACCATTCTTCTAAATGATTGTCTGGGCATACTATTAACTGGAAGTATTGTGAAGCTATTTTTCAATCTGGGTGTAGAATTAGGAGACGTGAACCTGAGTCTGACTTGTTCTGTAGCCTTGAGAGAATGAACATCTCAGGGTCTCAAATCCTTATTTATAAGATCTACTGACATAAGGCTGTTGGGAAGATTCAATGAGAAAGTTAGGCAAATAATAATTATTATTTAGCATTTATATAACTCTATTTTTTTCATGTGTTTCAGTTCATCCAATTGTCACAAGTCTATATGGTAAATATTGTTATTGCACTTAATCTGCAAAGAAAGAAAAAAAATGAAGGAGCCTACAGAATTGTCCTTTTGTTACATTAGTAAGTGAGGCTGAGATTTGTAAACTAGATATTCTGGTTTCAGAGTCTGGCTTCTGAACATTATCTGCCACTAATGTCAGCATAAAGATAAGATAACGCTAACTACTAATATTACAAAGTTATTTTAAGTTGTTTTATTTGAGTGAAACCAGTGCTTTCAAGTGGCTGAGGCGTCTCTGTAAATCTATCTGCCATTATACGGAGAGTTAGTCTTTAAACAGTCATTACCATGCAAAGGGATTTACGTTATCACCTGGGAAATTCAGGTTATCATTTGAAAAATTAAAAACGTTATTATAGTCTATGTACATGAGAAAAATAAACATTGTGGACCATTGGCAGCTTACTACAAAGTTGGACAAGTAACCGCCATTGATGAGGACCACCCGCCAAATTGTCTGACATACAAGATAATCAGTGGGGACATCCAGGCTGTCCGAAGGTTCTGGATTCACCCTTTCTCTGGAGTGATTGAGCTCACCAGTCAGCCAGACTATGAGTCGGTCAGCCAATATAACCTCACAGTACAAGCTGTGGACTGTGACAGAGCTCACCCACGGACCGCAGAGGCCACGGTAAGTAAAGAGACACAGGGTTTGTGTCTGTATGACTGAGCAATGCATTAAGTTTCAAGTTATCACCTCGGGGAGATCAGGCAGGGAATGGAGAAGCTTGTGACATTCTCCTACTGCTCAAGTGCTCTATAACTTGCCAGAACTTTCCTTTCCAAGTCTGAATGGGGAAAGAGGAACTGTCTAACTTCTCTCTCTGGTGTGAATGTGTTCTTAAAAGCGTAGCATGAATCTTTATGGACAACAAAGATGTGAAAAAATTGAAAGAGGCATTATTCTGCTCACTTTCACCATACAGATGAGGAAACTGAGGCACAAAGTTTAGAAAATGTACCCAGGGTTAATATAAGATCCATAGGCCTTGCACTAAATCCAGGCTGCTTCTACCTCAAGGCAATGTTTGCAATGTCATAGTATTGACGTGGAAGGATATGTGTGTCTCTAACTTATTTTAGAAAGGCCAAAAGACTCTTTAAAGACATTAAGAATATGAGCTATATTTATTATGGGGAGCACATTATTAATGAAGCTAAAGTTTTGCTATTGCACAAGGTTTTGTTTTTTATTTATTTATTTTTTGAGTGATTGTGTCACTGTGAGGAAAACATGAGACCTATTCACATCAATGATTAGAAGGACTTTCAGAGGGCTGAGGGTGAAGCCTTGAGTCTGGGATTCTGAAGGTTTGCAGTCTTGGGATGATGCTCACGAGAGTGCTTGTTCACAGGAGGTACCTTGGCCAGTTCTCTTATAGATGCTTAGAAGTCATGTTAAAGAAGAACTTGTTCATTCTTTCTTCCTCTTAATGAATATTTATCAAATGTGTACGTACAGAACCCTGGGTGATAAAAGTATAAGATATTGTCACATATACCTTTGGGGAGTTCAATATATCAAGTACCAAAATGATCATGCCAATGACTTTGACTTTCCTTGAGAAAAAAGGTGATAGATAAGCCTCCAGAAATGAGGGAACCATCCTCATCATCATCACCACCATCACCCTCATATAATTTTATTAAGAACCCAATAAAGTCAAGTGTTATGTATGATAAGCTCTAGTTATATAATTCATTTTTAATCCCATACTGCAAGGTAGTTTCGAACACCCCTTCCACCCCTTTTTAAATGCAATGAAACATTTTGTTTACACAGCTTAGATGCCTTAGAACCCAGTTGAGGTTACTCAGCTCAAGGAGATAGAATGAAGTCTGGGCACCTCTTCTCTGCCATGTGCCCCAAATTCCTTTTTTTTTTTTTTTTAAATCCTTTAGGCAATCTGTCTCTTTACTTCTCACCCATCTGTTGCTAACATCCCGGCTGGGCCCCCATTGCCTGTATTTGGCCCGACAGAGCAGACTACTTCCTAGAACCATGTCTTTGCTTGTGGCCCTGAAGTCTGCCAGAATGCCTCCTGAAAAAGGTCCACTGCCTGTCCTATGACCTCTTCATTCACTTCACATCCCACTGGACTAGGCTCCAGCATCATTGCCAAGGCCCAAGGTGTTTGAATGTTCTGGGCCCAGCTATATTTAGCTTCTGTTCTTATTCAATCAACCACTCAGTTTTCTTTGTGTCTCCCATGCATCAAGACAAATGCATATTCTCCAGGACTCACAGCGTCAGGCTGATGTGGATGAACACTAGTGGGTAAACTCTCCAAGAAGAAAGGACAAATTAAACCTGCAGACGGCAGCCCAGAGAGGGGGTGTAGGGTGCTGTGTGAGAGAAGTAGGGAACAACAGTCTGGCAGCAGAGACTCTGGAGCAGTAACTGTTCCATCGCTGCAACTAGACACTGGGCAAGGAGCAACTTAAGTGGGTGGTGTGTGTGTGTGTGTGTGTGTTGGCTTCCCATTTAAGAAGGTGCACACTCCCTCAAAGCAGGCAATGCATGACAACAGGATCACAAGGCAGCTGATTACCCTTCAAGCACAGTTATGAAACAGAGAGTCAGGGAGTGAGGCAGGACCTTAAATCTTCCAGGTCTGCCCCCAAGGACACCCTTCCTCTAGTGAAGCTTTTCTCCTTCAAGGGGCCATATAACTCTTCAAAAACAATGCCATGGGCTGCTGGGGACCGAGTTTTCAAACACAGTCTATGGGGGGACATTCTACATTCAACCCCTGACAAGATTACAAGATTGTTTATGCCAACCAGAATTATACCAAAGTAATTAAATTAAGATTAAATAAAAAAAATCCCAGGTCAGTAGGATGACTCAGCAGCTAAAGTCGCCTGCCACCAAGTTTGACAATCTGGTTTGATCTCCTGGATCCACATAGTGGAAGGAGAGAACCAACTGCTGAAAGTTGACCTCTGACATCACACACACCCATAGTGCTGTAGCAGGCATGCACACACACACACACATACACACACACATCACACACACATACACATAGTGCTGTAGTATGCGCACGCGCGGACACACACACACACAGAAACATATGCACACAAAATAAATAAATTAAATGTACTTTGTAAAAATCTCACATATTCGATACAACATTTAGCTGTGTTCAACCAACGGAGAAGTAACATTAAGAAATGTAGGATTTCCTCCAAGAACTTAACTATGTTATTAAAACATTCCATCAAACATGCTTGAAAAGATAATTCTTGCAGATGTAGTCACACCAGGGATTCTTCTGCTAATGCTACTGGGGAAGCTGTTAGTCATCGGAGAGGTGGGCAGAAAGCCTTTCCAGACTGACTGGCATTCCGTCACTGACATTTTCAAATCCTTGATATTTCCATCTTTTTCCATGTAAATCACAGCTTCCTGGCTTATGGTAATTTAATAAGGAAAATGTCGATAATAGCCCTAATTAAGGTCAGATATACATTGTGCTTGAGGAAACAATACAGAAGAGGCCCTTAATTAAGTTAGGGGAAATGTCTTCGGGGTGTATCTGCCACTGAACCTGGGCAGTTCAAAGTCTACGGAGCTTGGGCTTCAGAGATAGGGGTCTTCAGCGTTGCTTTTGCTCTAATTTGCATGACTGTGCTTCCCATAGAGGTTCATCTAAAGAGCCTGAAATTCTTCCTAAAGGGGACAGAGACTGCCACAACCAACCCAAGAATAATCAACCACTGACTAGGGACTGACAGCCAGAATCCATATCTCCAAGAACATGCCTTCAAACTCAGAAAAAAAATTAGGCTTTTTACTTAATAATTCTGGGTGATCTGCCCCTATCCAGATGCTCATTTCTGATTTTATTTATAGATCGTCTCACAATGTGGACGTGATGTTTCTTCTCCCTTCATCACTGACAGGTCACTGTTGACATTGAAGACGAGAATGATGAAGCACCCGTCTGCATCCCCTATCTGTCCACGGCCGTCATCTCTGATGATGTTGTTGCTGGGACAAACGTCAATGGCCTCAAATTAAACTGCCACGACAGAGATTCACACGATTTTGAGATGCGCTTTGAAATGGCTTCTGGTGGATACTTTAATTATTTCTTTTAATCGCAAACATATGTCAAGCTGACATTAGCTTACAATGTCAGACATGATATGTAACTCTAGAAGGGACTGTTTATTAGGGTTAGACAATTTCATAGCTTACTGTCATGTTTCTTCATGGCACCCTTTCATGTCTACAGACACAGCTCAATTAGTCCTGTGACTGCAGTACTCGGGCAAATGATAGAGGTTTTAGTACAAGAAGTTAAGTTTATTCTCCACATAGCTAGTAGAAAACAGACTCCATCTTTGCCTCTGATGATGTTGTTGCAAGTTCACAAGACTAGATGGTTTTGACCGTAT